GGGGGGGGGGGGGGGGGGGGGGGGGGGCAAAAGACCCTCCCCCTTTGAATCCCGGAGATCTGGAGTATCATTCTGGAAAAACGAAAAAAGCAAGCATCAGTGCTGGAATCCATCCGTCCGACAGGTGAATTAGTTCTGGCACAGCAGCGGAAAGGATAGCGTACCTTCCTTCATTTAGATGTAGAACTACTGAATGAATGAAGTTCAGAATGCTGTATTCCTTTTTTGGTTCTTCTTCTGAGCCGTTCGGTTGCAAAAAAAAAGAGGTAAGAATGAGAAAGGAAAGAAGACGATTAAACTCTTTGCTTTATTTCAACTACCTCATTTACATTATTTGCAAATGTCCCGTCTTGTGACTCGAGTCTCTCCTGTGATATTAAATCACAAGTTAGCGTTTGTGATGGCTGCTTGATACGACTTCTGACAGGTTCTGACCCGGTATCCTCTGTTTTCTTGAATAAAGTTTATTTTCCAAACAAAGTTTATTTTTTCGTACTCTCATAGATATGTTCATTAGGCCCAAAAGTTATGACTTTCCGCTGTATCTCCTCTTGAAGTCATTCAATCGATCGTTTTTCCCTTGCATCCTTGTGCAGTTTTCTGCTAGATTTATTTCTGGGTATTCTTTTTTGTCGCGAAAAAAACCAGCAGCTTTTAAACTGGCAATAGTTAGCCATTTAAATAATGTAGATATGAGACATTTTTCCGTCAAAATTCTCAAAATCTACTTGAATCTACTCGGAAAATCAAGCAGCGATATGAAAATTGCTACGTTCACAAATATCTATTCGCCTACGCATATAGTTCTGTTTTGTTCAGTTTTCATATCGCTGCCTGTTTTACCGGTCGAGTAGATTCAAGTGGATTTTGAGAATTTTGACCGAAAAATACGGCCCTGGAAAATAATAGCTTCGCGGTATGGCCAAAAAGTCATTATTTTTGGCTTTCGAATCGACATCTTACTGATATGCATTTAGCGGTGTTTCAGTTGTTTTGTCCAGTGCAACTTTGTCTTTCCTAAAGTCCTGTCCTTCTCTTCCTTGGGAATTTACAAGAATATGACTTACAGCTGATTCAAGAACTATCCGAAGTATGGTTTTGCTAAATATTGATCACTTGTTGTAGTCCAGTTCTTATCACACCGCCTACTTTTAGTATGCATTAAAGAAGATGATTGTTCGAATCACAGAAGATGGTATGCCGCAGAGTATCATACGCGAAATTTCGGCCCTGCGAGCTTTGCATAATTTGGATAATCCAAATATTGTCAAGTTTGTTTAAAATTGAATTCGTTCAGAATGAACCTGTTGTTGAAATTACGGGATTACCTTTATCCTATCCCAGTAAAACTTTTCCGGATATCCACTATATAAGCATTTGTGTTACTGGTAAATGTTATTCGTGGCCACTTATTGAAAGAGAGAATCTTAAATGTAACTGTAATTAGGCTTTCATAGGCTAATCCAGGGCGGTTTTCCGGAGGGAAGTGGGGCGGGGGAGGGGGGTTTTCAGCCTCCCGTTCTCCCTTCGTCACTACGCCTTCCTCCCCCCTCGGCCAGCTCACAA